GTCATTTGCTGGGCTCGATTTAGCTCTATGTTGGGCTCGGTTTGGCTTAAAATTAAATTATATTATACTCTTACTCCTTGCTGGGCTCGGTTCTGGTTTGGTTGTGGCTTGATCTTTGGCCATTTTCTGGATTCGTTTGCTGGTGGTTTTCTTTATTGCACAGGTTTATACGAAGGATTTTTGAGCTGTTTAGCTCTATGGGCTGAGGTTTCCTTGCTGAATCGATTTGATGTTCAAGTTTTAAAAAAGGGTTGGGGGCTTTACTTTATGCTTCTATGTTGGTTCTCCTACTCGAGACATATTCAAGTGGCTTCTATTTGATTTTAGGGCTCTTAGAAATTAGATTTTGATGGCTAGATTTTGATTCTTATCATTTTTAGTGGCTCGGTTTTACTCTCCTTATTGCTGCCCCTGTTTGAATGCACATTGGAATCTATGTGATGTTTTAGGGTAGTGGGTGATGAAAATTTGGTTGATGGCAAAATTCTTTATAAAACCATCTGCATGGCAGTTCACATGTTTTTTTTTTTTACCTTCTGTTTGCAGCAGCCAATTCTCTCGTATTTACATTGATACCACCCAATTCATGCATAATTACATATCTAACACCACACCCAAATTTAATTTCTCATGTATGTGTTGTCTTACCTATGCTTGTAATTGTGTGATTTCTTTTGGATAAAAAAAATTTTGATGATATAAATGTGAGTGATACATATATAAATACTTAAGAATTGCATGGTGTGTATACAAATTTCCTTTAGCTTTGTTTTACAGAGCTTTAATTTTTTTTTTTGTTATGCAAATACAGGGGAGTAAGGGGGTAAGCGTGCAAACATTCTTAAAATTTTCTATACGCTTACTTTGTAAATATTTTTAGCTGGAATATTCACTTTTTTTTAAGGCATCAAGAAGCATTCATTTGTTGCTTATACACTCTCCATATTAAAAAAAAAGAAGAAAGGATGTCTGAGGCTATCAAAGTTTGAAATATTTTCGATATTTGAATCTTACTGTAAATTCTGCTCAAAAACCAAGATCATCAAATAGTCCTTATCATTTGCGGTCCATAATCTATAAAAATGTGGCTGGAAGTATCTTGTTTTGATGATTTCTTGACCGGCAATATGAATTTCTAAATTGAGTCACTTGGAATTATCTTGAAGGCATTTTCTAGCATCCCTGGAATTGGGAAGTTATGATATAGTGAGATATATGATTTCTGAAATGTGGTATGAAACAATTATATACATGATCCTTTTTAGAAGTTCGTTCCCTTTGATTTCATTATACAAAACATTCAAAGAGGAAATTATTAGATAAACATATGAAATGTTAAAGTGGCCTATAAGTTCGAGATGAGGGGCATTAGGCAATGATGCAAAGAACCAATGATCAGCTCTTCTTATAGCTAAAAATATAAAATCAATATTCAATTAATGAGATGCCCTTGCACCCCTTAAGTCGTCGGCAGCTATAACCCTTTTCAAAAGGTTTGAGAATTGGTAATTAGAAAAAAACAGATACTACAGATTTCTGCACAGATACTATACTTGTGAAAGAACAGATACACAATTACACAGATATTACACTTAAAAAAGGAACAGATACTCATTTCATACACTACACAATAAATACCATAATATCACAATAGATACTACACATCACACTCCAGATGATACACAATAGACACTACACATTACACTCAATACGACAGATGCTACATTTGTAACACATCACATATTACACACTAGACATTCCACATAACAGATACCACAAGAATAGATATTATATTTCTTTTGAGAGCCTAACTACTACACACCACACCTACACCCCGATAAGTTCATATACTATACATCACTCATCCTAATATCACACATAGTTGCACTACACCTTGATAAGTTCAGATACTATCTCACATGGGTACATTACACCGTTAACAATATATGTCCAGATACTATTTGGGTTCACACACCTTTTAAACGATAGGGTATAGGGCTGTCTCTAGGGCTGCTATTATCGGGGTGATTCGTTGGTGAACTCTAGTTGATATTGATAGGTTGACTTCGATATATCAGTTGCATGTGGGGATCAAGATAATAGAGAAAAAGAGGTCTAGTCTGAGCCCAACCCCAAACTAAAAGCTAATATTTCACTTTAAATTTTCATATGCTTATCACTTAGTCTTTCTTTTATAGTCTGCAAATGTTTATCTAACCCCTTTATATCATGCAATTGTAATATGTTTTGTAGCATTGCCAGACTTAATCAGGTACATTTAGTTGTTTCAGTTTTGTTTCTACACTACATATTTTTTTCTTTACTTTATAGTCTTTCCTTTTCTTCATATTTACTTTACTTTCATAGTTTTCCTTCAGTCATTTCCTGTTACAGTAGTTTACTACACCAGTTGTTCCTTTCCTGTACTGCATCGTACTATAGACATTCATTTGTATTCATACTTCTAAATATTATTTTCCTAGCATGTACAATCCCCTAGGATAGGCCGTTCAAGGCATGATTTTCTCTTTTCTTTATCTCTTTTCTCGGAACAAGATGACAAAGACATCAAATGATGATTTATCCCCGGGCAGCGATCGAGACGACGACACGAGCAAATGACGATTCATCTCCGGACAACGGTCAAGACAACAACAAAAGATAGAAGGATGAGCTTCAACCGAGCTTCGATAAATTTAAATAACATACCTATAGGACGCTGAGGTTGTTCGTCTGACATGACGTAAATCTTCACATTATCTTTTAGGACTTTCTACGATTCTTATATTGGATGATATAAGTCCTAAACTTTTTTAGGATTCCGAGGTCGTCGTTCAGTACGACATAAATCCTCATATTTTCTCGGGCTATTTGCATATGATATGCAGATATAAGCCCCGAATATCTGAATAATTTACAGGACTGAAACATCACATAATTTCTCTTTCAAAGATATAAAGCCAAACCATAGATTAGTTTGAGATATTACTGAATATTCTTCAGTATCTTCGACATCTCATACTTTTCGTTCATTTGAATTCCGAAAATAACTGTTCTTACTTGAACCTATCCCACTTGATTTTCCTATAAGCAATCGTGGAAACCTAAACGTTGAATTTTTGAAGGCAAAATCTCTAATCATTATCGAGAGTTTTCTTAAATGACTCCCGTCATTTGAGATGTAATTAACTATCGGGGCTTGCCTCTATAGGGAATTAAGAACCCAGATTAATCTAAACCCTATCTAATTTATGTAATAGATAGGAAAATTTGTCGGCTATAAATTCGCAGATTAAAATAGAGTTATAAACTTTTAAGTTTAGATAGTTAAGTCTACTAATAAGTGATACGTTCATCCTTCGAGATGATACATTATTTATGGTATCGTACTTAGCTATTTAAACTATCAGATATATGAGGTCTATCCGGTCTCATCATTTTCAAAAAATAAAAAAAAATATACCATTTTCACAAAATTAAAATTACATTATATATTATATTAAATTTAAAAATTTAAAATCTTATTTCCACAGAAAAGCTGACAAGGTGGCTTTGAGTCCTATCAGACACAGCTCAATCATTGAAGAAATAAAGTGAGGAATATTCAAACAATGTTGATGAGGAAATGTTGCTCTCTTTTTTGAATTTTCACCATATATTTTCAGGTGTTCTTTCTTTAATAATTTCGACCCATCACTTAAAAATGAAAATATGGTGATCTTTCTCATTTTATGAAGATCAATTTGAAGTAAACAATGCGTGATGCATCTCGAAAGGCCACAATAATACGGGAAAGTGTTTCTTTTACTTATATGTGGTAGCTGACGGTATGCTCACCACCATTCTTTAGTTTTGCTTGGGTCAATTTGTTCACCGGAACACCACAGTTCCTGTCCTAGGAGCTGTGCCTTATTGTGGTATCACTCAGAAGACTCAGTATATACTAATTTATTCAATTCTAAGGCCCACCTTTGCTAGTAAAGGATTAGTCTGGCTGGTAGAAAGCCATTCCAGATTTATTTTGTGTGATTTGAGCTCCTATAGATCTGTTGAGATTCGTGCTTCCCTTTCAAACTTTTTCTAAGATAATAGGTTTTTTATGAACCCAACAATGATGATCTTGTCTTTTGTGCTTTTCATTTCTGTAGTTTCTTGGTTTTCTGCACAATCTTTGAATTCCCTTAAAAGATTAATAAGACTCTTTTGTTCTAGTTTGTTTCCTTTATTATTTAATTGCGGGCTCTATTTTTTTTGCATGCATCTTAAAGAAAGTAAAAGAAGAAGGATGCATATTTAACACTTTGCTTCATAATTTGCATGTTAAACAATTTGTCGAGGTTGTTTCATCGAACATTAGATGTTGATAACAAATTCATCTTCGAATTGCAATTTATTAATTTAATTGTTTTGGCTGTTGATTTTGTACATCATGTTTTAGTGTCAAGGTCTTGTTGAACATGGGGCCTCTATAGGACAAACTCCAGCAGCTGTTGTTAGCAAGTCAAAGTATACCATTGCTATGCTGGCTGATCCATATGCTGCTCTCTCGGTGTGCATAACTTTAAGTTACATTTTTATTAAACCGTGATATTTCAGTTCTGACACTCTCGAAACCAGTTCAGGTTGTATTTGAAAAAGATGGAGTCCTTGAGCAAATTTGTGAAGGAAAAGGCTACATTGACATGTCTACAGTTGATGCTGCCACTTCATTAAAGATTAGTGAGGTTACAACTTTTTGATGAACATAAGCTATTGTGATTTACTTTTCATGTTATCATTTATTCATGGTAATGTCTCTCTCTTTACCTATTAGACCAGTTTGAGCGTGCCTTTAGTTTGCTTTTCCTTACCATTTGAATGGATCCATTTGTGCAGCTATACTTGACATTAACTTGTCGTGTTACAATTTAAGCAATATTACAAACAAAATTTTGTTTGCATGTTAGTTTGGTAGTTTTGTTTTTAATTTAGACGCTGTCGTACTTTTAATTGCATCCCATTATTCTGATTAGTGTAAAGATCATGCTCACCATTCAACCTTTAATCCATTTATGACCCTATTTTTTCTCCCATTTGCATCGAGCTCCATCTCTCTTATGCTTGTTTTAGGTTGGCTCTTCTTATGCTTGTTTTAAGTTGGCTCTAGTTGATCAGAATGTTGATAAAAACAAAATTTATGCTTAATCAATAGCATTTTAAAAAACATTAAGTTTTTTAGGGGTTGCAATGGTATTGACACAGCTGCTTATGAAACTAGAGTTGTAACTACTTCTAAGTACTTCCCTTGAATGGTTGAAACTTATCTACATTTAGTGTAAAAATCAAGTCTAATTTGTAGAAAAAATGAAAATGCCAATCGAGGTTTTTTATGCGAGTTGACACAATCTTACTTGCATCAGATTCACTTCGGTAAAATCTAATAATCATTTTTTTCTTACATCTGACTGTCGGCCGGGATTTTCGAAACATGGACGGATTTAAATTTGAATTTAAGTATATATAGATATAAATGTAATTTTGATTTTGAAAAAAAAAATTTTGATTTTTAAATAAATGAGACCAAACAGATCTTACATATTGGATAGTTTGGATGACCGAACGCGATATCACAAGTAATATACTACCCCGAATAATAAGCTATCACTTGTAGTAGGCTCAACCATCCAAACCAAAGAATTCTGTGACATCCGTTTAGACTGCGAAACCTTTTATGTATGACCAATAAATTTCCCTACCTAATATAAAAATTATATAGGGTTTATTTTATCTGGGTTTTTAGTTCCTTCTAGAAACAAACTCCTATAATTAATTACATCTTAAATGACCGGGGTCACTTAAGAAGACTCTCGATTAAGATCAGTGGTCCTGCCTTCAAGATTTCAATGTTTATGTTTCCAAGATTGGACACGGAAAAGTCAAATAGAAGTGGCTCAAATAAGAACAGTTATTTTAAGGAATCCAAATGAATGAAGGGTAGGGGATATCATGAATCCGAGGAGAACCCTTCCAACTATCCTATTGTTTGACTTTATGTCTTTGAAATAATGTTATTCCATGTTTAATCCTGCAATTTATTTAGAGTTTAGGACTTATATTCACATGATATCCGATCGTACAAATAGACTAGAGAGATAGAAGGATTTACATCATATCGTACGGTAACATCGAAATCCTAAAAGTGTTAGGACTTATATGCAAAAGCCTAAAGACAAAGTGAGGATTTACGTTGCGCTAATCAAACTACCTCGAAGTCCTATGGGTTATTTAAACTAAGGAAAATATTTAGTTGTCGTAAACTTGTTGTACTATTATAGATTGTCATCCCCCGTCCGCTACGTCCTGGTCGTGCTGCCCACGAAGAGTTGCTTCATGCTCCATGTAGTAATAGTTTTAGGTTCAGTGTTTTATATGTGAACGTACAATATTGTTATTTGGTGACTTACCGCTGTATATCTCCTAAACTAGGCTATATCCAAAAGGTTTTGTAGTTAATTTAAAGCATATATAAACTAACTATGCTATAAAGAAGTACAGTAAGTGAAAATAGTATAAGGTGCGATAAATAAAAACAATATAAAAGAAATGCAGTAAAATGCTATAAATATACTGTAAACTTTGGATACCTGAATTTCTTGTTATTGCTGTACCCGTAAATGGGATGAGCGTTGCAGGTAACAATATAATGGAGAAATTCTGCTAGCAGGATAAACATATGTTTATGTATAACAGAATAAATGACAGAGTAGCATATGAAAAACCCTGAGGAAAATTGAAAGTGACCCACAGAGACTCGAGACAAATCGTAGAAAAAAACACAAACAAATAAAACAAAACACAAAATCACGTATAAAGGACCAAGAGTGGGTGACTTATATGTGAAATTGAGAATGTCCCCAATTGGCAGGAAGATTTAAGTGTAAGATTCAAGCTCAAATCCTGGAGTATTGGGTTTCATTTTAGCTCAAATCATGACGAGAATTTTCCTATTTGATTTAATTAAATTAGTCATGAACCACAACCTGGTGCATATTCTGTTTATTAATTTAACTAACTTATGAATTAGGGTAAGGTGTCTAGCTTCAGTGTCCATTTCAAAATTTAGTAGATGAACTCTCCCCAAGGGTGTGCTCCTAAAATCTAGAAAGTCTACACTTTAACTTCAGCTTGAAGTGTTTTAAAGTGTTCTCTTCAATTAAGTGTTTTCCAACTAATCATCGAACTTCTTTGGATCAAACTTAACTCACTGTCATGCTCTTAAGACTTAGGGGGTAAACTTATAATTTTGCCAGACAGGTTCATAAAATGTGCTTCAATCCTAATTAAAACAATTAGGCTTAAGTCTAACCAATGCTTAGGGGTCTTAATTGATAGCCTAATGATCTTTTAATTCATGCCCATAACTCTTGAATCATTTAAGCTCTTAATTTCTCTCAATTCTCAACAATTCACACAATTATAATTTTATTCTTGTTGTGTAAAAAAAATGATGAATGATTTGTTACCCTATTTCTCCTTGGGTTTAAATCATCTCAACAAACTAATTATCATTAATTTTCTTTTAGTTCTCCCCTCTAATTATCCACCTTTTTTTAAAGGCGTGAATTAATCCTGAAAATAATTAAATCAGAAATTCTCATTTTTAACTTAATCATTGACAAGAGAAAAGAAAACAAAACCAAATAAGCGGAGGAGGCCGACCCACTTAAACAAAATCAACAAAGCCACAAAAGCGAAACCGCAAGTGAATCGGTCGAAAAGCGTTTAAGTTCTTTAAAAAATAAATAATCAAATCAACTCTCAAAACATCAAGCAAATTGAACTCGAAAAGAGTATTTGATGTTTTCAAGGCAAGAAGAATATAATATTTAAAATGACGTAAAAGTAACGTTTTGGGACTTCCAATTTTGTATTTAAAAGAAGACTCAAATGAAATAATTCAAATTTTCTAAAAGAAAGAAGTTCCAAACACTTTCAATTCTTTAAAAATCAAAATGACTCGAAAAGACTTTCAAATCTTCCAAATAAATCACTTAAAGCTTTTAGGTTTTATACAAGTAAAGCATTGCCGCTCTCTCAAACTTTCCAAATAAAGTTTGAAAAGTTTTGGATTTTTCAAATGTAAAACACCAAAGCATTTGTAAACTTTCCAAATTTTCCAAATAAAACACTTAAACTTTTCAGGTTTTGCAAAAGCAAATCATCAAAGCTCTCCAAATTTTGCAAATGTAACATGGAAACTTTCAGATTATTGTAAAAGTGGGGGCATCACAACTTTTCAATTTTCGCAAATGTCACATGAAAACTTTCAAATTTTTGTAAAAGTGGGATATCACAACTTTCCAACTTTCACAAATGTCACATGAAAACTTCTAGATTTTTGTAAAAGCGGGGTATCACAACTTTCATGAATTACTGCATAGGAATTTCCCCTACAGGCCCTACAGGCAATGTCGTATGCATTTTTAATAAATCAAAACATCAAAAATATCCATTCCAATAAAATACATAGAGCTAGCAATGAAATGAATTAGAGGCAATTTACATGCATACCACATAATTTGTGTATTCACATACAACTCGGTAATTTTAATCTGATATGGAAGATTGGGTGGGATAAATGTGAAAGGAAAGGTAGAGATGCTAAACATGTAAATACTTGATGAATTGAAAAATATGTACACTTGCTTTCAAAGTTTCAAAGTTCAGGCATTAGATACCATTGTGTGCTTAGGTATGGAAATGCAAAAGAATTGCGTTGCATATGTGTCTCAGATTTCAGGCACAAAGTCACCATGTCAGATTTTTTTATTTGAAATCCCCTCCATCAAAGCTATTAGCAGGATGTATATACCTCAAGCAAATCTTTTATATTTATATACCTTAACTTCTAAACTTCTATACACGCATGAGTTAAATCCACGGTGCTAAATATGTAGCACATTGTAATTGACAGAACTTGTGACTAAGTTCTAAGCCTCAGTACCCAATATCATATACGTAAGCATACAGGAATTGCACATTGTACATCAAGCTTTCCAAATACTGTAATAATCAACAACATAAAATACTAATCGCATCAAGCTTTTCCCGTAATAAAGAATGATAGGGGAATGAACATTGTTAAAATTTCTGCCAAAGAAAATCTGTAAAGCATAATATAGATGAGGCAACATCCAACTTTGGCGTGATAATGGAGAAAGTAAGACAAGCAAAATCGTTCAGAAGATGCTTTTATATATATGAACCTTTAATACCAGTTTCCTCCAAGGTTTGTAATAAATTCCAAAATAGAGTAAAGAAAGAAGGAACTCCTTACTCTTAAATGCCCAGAAAATATGCAAGCATAAGCCTGTAGAAAAATTCTGCAGCGCCACTCTCCTCACACCAAAACTTTGCCATCCTCAATCGGCTCACTTGCTACAAAAAAAAAAAAAAAATCCAAGGAAAGGAAACCAGTGACGAATCCGACAGAACCTTCACCTCTTCAAAATTTTTGGCCAACCCTAAAGACTCCCCCAAATAAGGTTTTTATAAGCAAAGAGGGAGAGGAAATGCACCACCTATCAGCCCCAATGTGTTTGAATAAGGTGACGGGAGAAGAATGATCGTATTTAGGAAGAAGTAACAAACGACCTAGGGGAGAGGAAGGGTCGGCCAAGAGGAAGGCTCACGATTGGCGAGCCGTTCGGTCGAGCAGGGCTCGAGGGGGGCGAGGCGCTAAAGG